TCCGTGAGAACTTGTAGTTGGAAAATGAAGTACTCTCAAGGCCCTGGCACAGGGCGTGGTAAGGATAGATACTTGCCTTGATTTATGCCTGGAACATTCAGATCTTCTCTGTCTCTGTTCAGGCCCTTTCTAAACCTGTGCAGTGAAAGCTACAGCCATATATAGCATCAGTTCAGACCCAAATCGATGACTGCCTGAAGTGCTAGGCAAGTCTATGCAATATTAATGCTAGTAAGTACTGGCAGGTGACTGCTGTAAGTCTTAAAATGCGAATAGGTGCAACTCATAAAGATCCACAGAAACCTGCTGTTCCCAGGAACAGGAAACCTTACTGATAGTTATTTCCTACTTATCTTTAAACACCTTTTTTTTTTTGTTAAAGAAATTAAGACATCATCTAGCCCAGTTAATGGGTTCTCTCCCTGTATTGTGGCAATTTCTGACAGAAGAATGTTATTCTTCAAATCCTAGGAGAGAGTGGCTAAAACTGGTGGTTCTCTCGAGTGGCTGACACTAGTCTGATGTTCACCAAAATCCTATTTTCTTTGCTCTTGTCTTCTAGGTGGCACTTCACTGCAATTTATTGGCTTTGGTTATTTCTGCTTTTCTAAGCTGACTCTCCAGAGAGCTTCAGTACAACTCTGACATCCACTCCTGTGCTGTTCCCTTTCTTCCCTAGTTGGCCACCGCAAAGTAGCCAAGGATGCTTTGTTTAGGTCAGAGCAAAGGAAAAATGCTTATGCTGTGGAATATCTGCATAGCTGTGTTGGTTGATTCTTCTGGCTACCTTGCAGAAATTTAGTCTGAATCTACTCAAATATGATAGCATGCTTCTCTTTCAGAGCACTCACAGCATGTGTAGTGTATGTAGTCGCTAAGTTGTAGATGTAAAAGATTAGCTTTAAAAGCGAGCAAGTCCAATTTTTACCTTTCTGATGATGTCTAGGCATAATAAAAGAGTATGTGCAATGAGAAGGGTAGCTCTAAAGCTATTCCTGTGTTGGGAAATGATAGATTTGGAAGAAAAACACAATGAATTGGAAATAATTTTTACAATCAGGGTGCTAACATTCCTTCTGTCTTCACTTGGTGTGTTTGTAGCCTTGTACTGAAACAATAGCATTTTAGCTCCTTAAACCTTTCCTTCCTGTGAGTCCTTGCACTTGGAGGTATATCATATTGGCCACCTCAACATTATCATGGAAAGTACGTCATTTGTCTTCCATGTAGTGGTTGGGGTAAAGGCTATAGGAAAGTGAATCTTTTTCTGGAAACCTGTGAGCACTGTACTAATTTCAGCTTTTTTTTTTTTTTTTTTTTTTCCCTTATTTCCGTCATTGCATGATGTAGCTGTTTTGGGATTGTTCTGTAGAACAGGACAGTTACGTGGTTTGAGTTGGGAGAAAAACAACAAATCCAAACCAAACAAATTCCCAAAGCCCTCCAGCAGGATCCAAATAAGGATTTTATCTCTGATTTGATGTGGCTCAACTAAAAAAAAAAAAAATTGCAGCAGTATAGCTTATGTGGCTTGATGACACGGTGAATCTAGGTCTGGCTTTCCAGACCTGGTACCGTAATCATGCACTGTGTTCATAGCTGAGCATTAATCTGACACCGTGAATTTATACCAGCACAAAAATGCTGCTACATTCACGTCTAGGGATCAAATGTTGCATCTGTTAGAGAGCGTATCAGATTATGCTTAATGGAGTGTCCATAAATAATTTTTTTTTTGAAAGTGGAATATCTGTGAAGTGGCTGGAGTAAGCCTGTGGCCTGTTGTCCCGGGACTGCAGGGTCTAGTTATCTTTACAGTGCTTTTGCTGTGTTGTACCCACATCTCTTGCAGCTCTTTGTGCAGATGGTCAGCTCTTGGTGGTCAGAAATGGATTTGATGAAGGGATGCTGAGCTGGACGTATTCTTGTACTTTAGGTGGTTGTTGATGTCACTGGACTTCACCTAACTCCAAAGCAACTCCAGAACCATAACTTGTTACAGCTACCCTAGGGTACTTCATATGACTACCCATTCACCCTTCATAGAGGGGTACTCTAAGCTTATGGTAATTTGTGAGGGGGTTTATATCATGTTTTGCCTGGGATAAATAGGTACTGCACCCCGTGACCATGTTCCTGAATGCTTTCAGTGCCCAGAGATGTTTCCAGCCCACTGCCACTCGCAAAACATCTCTTACTGTCCCAGGCACCTCCTTTCCTCCTGCTCTGCTTATTTGTTGGGCTTTGGTTTCTGGTTCCAGCTACTGCTTCCCTTTATTGGGAAGGAGGGTCCCTCATTTTAGTAACCAATTTGAAACCTTCTGTTTGTAAGATTGGGAAAACTAGAAGGTGATTATATGTGAACATCATCTCTTGTTCATCCTCCTGAGTGTTTGTAGGATGCGGTGCGATTGTGCTTAAGCCCTAGAGTGTTTTGCTGTGATCTTTGCTGAACACCTGACATTTCTGCACGTAGTTTACCTAAAATTAGTACTTGGACCCAAAAGAGGTATCGTATTCATGAACCAGGCTGTTGTACATTGAAATGACTGTAGAGACAAAGATCAATAACAAAGATGTTTATAACCTTATTTATTTTATGTTTTTAGGCAACATGAGGGGTTAAGTGTATTGTAGAGAGGACAACTTGTGATTGCTCTTTCATGCTGGGAGTTGACAGAAATCTATCTCTGGAGAAGACCTGTTAGGAGAAGAGGTGCCCCAATCCATAACATTATTGTAAAGACTGTTACCACAACTGTAATGCTGACGTGCTTCTGAATAACCTTCCCTTTGGTTAGTTTTCCTGACTCAGGAGTGCATTTGCCGCTTATGCAGAACTCCTCTTTCAGGGGAACTTTCACAACTGTAAGATGACACATAGCAGCAGATCCATAACATGCTCTCATAGCACCCCTATAGACAAAATAAAATGGGATGAACAGGAATCTCGGAAAGTACAGCAAAGGGAAATGTCAAGTCCTGCAGCTGGGGAGAGGTAACCTGATGCATAAGGACACATCAGGAGCTGATGTCCTGAAAAGCGAGATTGCAGAAAAGGTTTAGGGAGTTCTGGTGGTTGGCATGTTGACCCTGAGCCAGCAATGTGCCCTTGTGGCAATGAAGGCCACTGGCATCCTGGGCTATGTTGGGAAGAGTGTTCCCAGCAGGTCAAGAGAGGGCACAAACTGAAACACAGAAAATTCCTTTGGTTTTATTTTATTTTGTTAACTGTGAAGATGGGCAAACACAGAAACAGGTTGTCCGGAGACACAGTGGAATCTTCATCCTTGGAGATGGCAACCTGCTCAGGTTAGCCTTGCTTTGAGCAGAGTGGTGGACTGGATCTCTGGAGATCCCTTCCAACCCCAAGTGTTGTGTGATTCTGGAATGTGCTGCTAAAGAAGAGAATGACTGGCTTTCCTAGTCCTTGTTGGTGTCCACACTGCACTTGATTCATATCTGAATTTTTCAGCAGCTCTTTAATTCATTGGAGATAGGTTCAAGCATGCTAATGGTACTTCCCAGTACTTTTGAGTCATGTTTTAAAAGACAGAAGTTAACTGATG